ATTTTTTTTATAAAAGTCAAGGTCTTTTACCTGTTCTACAATATATTTTATATATTAATATATAGTATATATTTTATATATCGTATATATAGTTTAGTAATTATTAAACTGGAAACAGTTAAATATCTTCTTTGCGTTGTAGTAGTTATTGGTTTGGACGTTGTGATGTCATTTGCAGCTGTGTACCATTGAAAATTGCTTGTAGTGCCATCTGTGGCTGTAGGTTGGGGACCCCCGACTTACTCTAGTGTACTAAACAGTAAATGTAATAAACAAATTCTAAAATCAAATCTGTATGCTGTACATTAATTCGGGTTACATAAACTAAATACAGTGCAAATAAATTTTCGTCTATTACTTCATGTTATATATTATGAAGAAAAAAAACAATTAGGGTCAATGTTTTCGTATAACATACAATATCGACTGTCTGGAATTTTAAAAACACTTTAATTGACAAATTATATATATATATATATATATATATATATATATATATATATACAGTAGGGAATATTTATTTTCCCTGTATATATATATATATATATATATATATATATATATATATATATATATATATATATATATATATAAATAGGGGAAAAATAAATATTCATACACATGAAAAATTGTATTTTTATAAATGTAAAAGCCTTAACAAAAACAAATTTTGATACATTTTATGTGTAAAGATACATATTATTAAAAATATTAATAAACTTAATTCATTCTTATTCTAACAAAAATTAATGCATTTTTTCATTTTAACTGATGAAAAAAGTATTCGTACAAAACAAAAAAAGCATATTAACTTAATACTTTGTGGAATATCCTTTATTGAGTTCAATAGCTACCAGTCTATTCCTGTACGTCTCAACTAATGATTTGCACACATTGAGTGGTATATATTCTTCTTGGCATATTGTCTTCAAATTCGTGATATTTGTTAGTGCTCTTTTCCCAATTTGTATTTTCAAATATCTCCATAAATTCTCGATTGGGTTCAAGTCTGGGGACTGACTTGGCCATTGCAAGACATCAACGTTACTTTCAGCTAACCATTTCCTTGTAGATCTAGCGGTATGCTTAGGATCATTATCCAGTTGGAAAACCCAATCAGGAGGTAGCCGAAGTCTCTCAACAGAACGCATTAAATTGTCTTGCAGGATTTTCTGGTATCTTTCGGTATTCATCTTGCCATCTATTATTGATATTCTGCCAACACCTTTTGCAGAAAAACAGCCCCAGATCATGATACTGCCACCACCAAACTTTACAGTTGGCAATGTGTTCTTTGGTAAGTAGGCTTCACCGTCCTTTCTCCACACATGATTTCGATAATTATGACAAACAACTCTATTTTAGTTTCATCTGTCCATAGTACTTTTTCCCAAAACGAATATTCTTTATCTTTACGATCTCTAACGAATTTTAGCCTAGCATCAAGAGGAGTGAAGTCTTCCTTGGGATGCGTGATTTCAGACTGTTTTTGTGTAGTTCATTACTTATTGTACGCTTGGTTACTTTATTCCCTAATCCACGCAGATGTTCCTGCAGATCTTCTCGGGTAACCTGTGGATTTTGTTGGATATGGCGTCCTAATATCCTTGCTGATCTTAGAAAAATCTTCCTCAGCGCATCTGTTCGTCTTTGGTTTTCGACGCTGTTAGGAGTTTTAAACCTTGCAATGAACAAAGCAATTGTAGTAAAATGAATATTCAGGTTGTTAAGAATCGTTCTGTAACTGTTCTCATCTTTCCAAAGAGATAAAATGTGTTGATTTTGTGAAATAATCAATTCTTTACCTTTAGTCTCGTAAGACAAGAAATTGCAGAATGCTCTGATAATGGCTAATAGCGTTGACTATAATTACTGATAACATTACTGGAACATTCTAGAATATATTTTTTTCATGATTAATTGATTATTTTATTCTAATAATTGATTTGTACGAATACTTTTTTCACCAGTTAGAATTTTAAAAATGCATTAATTTCTGTTAGAATAAGAATTAATTAAGTTTATTATTATTTTTTAATAGTATGTGTCTTTATACATAAAATGTGCCGAGATTTGTTTTATTTAAGGCTTTATTTATAAAAATACAATTTTTCAAGTGTACGAATATTTATTTCACCCACTGTATGTATATATATATATATATATATATATTATTATTATTATTTATAGATAGATATATAGATAGGAGTTCGAATCATGTTTTGCTTATTTCAACTCCATCTAATTTTACTTCATCAAATTATATATATATATATATATATATATATATATATATATATATATATATATATATATATATATATATATATATATATCACTGCCATGAACAGACATATTATTATATTTATATTATTACCACTCATGATAATAAAAAGAAAAAAATGAAAAACGGGTCAGCTAACCAATTTCGTATCTCGCTCAACAGAGCGAAATCGAGGTAAATAGTGTATGTAAAAATGACGTTGAAATTTTTTTACCGTTAACAATTGTTTTTTTTTTTTAAATCCAGACGACATCCATTCAACTGATGTCAGGTTTCATTGTAAAATACATCCCTACCCCTTACCAAATTGTAGCTAATAACTGATACAATGATACTGACATAAGGAAAATCTAGACATCCCTTGTTCAATTTAAGTAGAATATTCTGTAACCATGGAGACGTGATTTTAGCTGTGTCTTTAAAACCCGGTAATTTTTAAAAGTTACCCCAAAATTCGCTTGAAGATGAAATGGAACTAATGCTTTTTAATTTAATTGCAAAATTAACTTCAGGGTTTTTAGCTTCTATTTTTGAAACATGGTTGGAACTATGTAGGAAAAAAAAACCATATTTTAAATCAATTAATTTATAATATTAATGCTCTGTAAATTTACATTGAGCACTATTTTGTAAAAATAAAAATATCTATAAGAACACCGGATTTTATATCTTACTGTTCTTTCTTTTTTTTTATATATATATATATATATATATATATATATATATATATATATATATATATATATATATATATATATATAATCATAGATAGATAGATATATAGGAGTTCGAAACTCTTATCCTGTTTTGGTTATTCTTACTCCATCTACATATTCTAGACCATGGGTCGACAATCTTTTGCTGTGCCGACTTAGGTTTTTAAAATCATTCAGTCTGCCAACAGCATACGTATTTTTATACAAGTCAAGATCAATATACCTGTTCTACAATATATTTAATACATTAATATATAGCATGTATATACTTTAGTATATATTAAAATTGAAACAGTTAAATATCTTCTTTGCGTTGTAGTAGTTATTGATTCGAACTTCGTGATTTGCGGCTGCGTGCCATTGCTTGACGTACTACTTGTGACACGCGTGCCGTAGGTTGCCGCCCCCTGCTCGAGATGAGTCAAGATTAGAATTTAAAGAGAATTTACTAGCAGAACATTCTGCTTTATCAGCGGATGTTAACACCTCAAATTGAGTGAAGAGAAAAGTAAGACTTACACTTACTTAACACTCTATTACAGAGACGCCAGTAGCTTTGAGTACCGAACATGTTAGACACTATACCGTGTCTCATTCGTATAATATTCCTCTTTAAGGAGACGTTTACAATTATATATATTTATATATCTGTTGTGCTGGTAAACTCGGAAGATTTTTTTTTTGTTTTTTGTTTTTTTTTAAAAACGTTACAATTAAATATCAGTTCATTTTAAAACCTACATTTAGGATTTCCTTTTATCATTACTCGAATCCATTCCTGACCCATTACAAGCAGTTAAGGCAAAAACATCCCTTTTCTGCAGTCATTTACAATCTTCACTATTTACATTATTCGGACTATTGTCCTCATCTTTGTTGCCATATTTATCACATCGTTTCGGATCCTTCAGTATCTGAATATATTTCTGAGATGAGGTATTATGTACACTATTTACATTTTTCGGACTATTGTCCTCATCTTTGTTGCTATATTTATGGTTAGAATATCGAACTGAACCCTTTATTTCGCTCGCTGGGGTAGACTTTTCGAGTTCCAGTTATCTAGTTGTCAGTTATCTCCTGTTAATTCCCCTCTCCAAGTTATCTCCTGCTTTAACCAGGTATTGAACTCACACTCTTTGGGTCCTGTCACTGGATCTAACTTACGCCTTTATCCACTGTGCCATGTGTCCTTGAGGACATAGGTATATGAATTTCTGGGTATTATAAACCTAATATCTTCAGCAACCATTTTTACCAGAGCTCATGTTGCAATTTTTGCTGTTATCATTGCATGCTTTTTACCAGAGCTCATATTGCAACGTTGTGATATATATCGCAACAAAGATGAGGACAATAGTCTGAATAATGTAAATAGTGTACATAACGCCTCATCTCAGAAATATAGACATTTACACTCTTTATTCTGTGTGTGTCTTTGTGCAGTCGATTTATTGCAGTAGTTATCGTGTATATTCGCAAGAACTTTATAATTTTCGCTAATCATTTGTCCTCTTAGTGTGTTAAATAATGCTATGTGCCCTACCGAGTCAAATACTTTTTTTTACAGTCAACCATGTCTGAACAATGCGTTTTGCATTATTCTTTTTTATTATATCAACTGAGTAATTGTTTCGTTATAGTCTGTTGTTGAGTAGCCACTCCTTAAATCTCTTTGTCTGTGTGACTGGTATACATGCAGAATATTTAGTAGCCTATTTTAATATTTTATATGTTTATGTGATAAGGCAATAGTCTTTATTATTATAAAATAGGATTACTATTCCTAGACTGAAATTTTATGATACATTGTGCTAATCCTTTGTGATTTTTTCCTCCAGCTTTCAAAATATCTGTTACTATGCCATCTCCGCCTGCTGCATTTCCGCGTTTCATATTTTGAAGCGTTAGCCTTATTTCATGCTGTTGCCTCCGTAATTTTTACTATTATCTGCCGAAATGTTTACTTTCGGCGCGTACAACTCATAGGTCAACATGGCTTACGGTCATACCACGTTGAAATACCGGTTCTCGAACGATCACCGAAGTTAAGCAACGTCGAACCTGGTCTGTACCAAAAAGGGAGACCGCTTGGTAATATCAGGTGCTGCAAACTTGGTTGTGACAGGTGTAATGGATAATGGCTCCAAATTGGAAATCGGAGAGCCATTTTCCATTTCCAGTCGAGTTCGTTATATTCAATTACGCGCAAATAACTTTGGAAAGGATATAGATCCACCTCTTCTCCCCCAGCTATAGGTTAATTAGTAGGACTTGTATCAGTAAATTATTATTATCTCCAAAAAATTCTTACAATCTAAAAATATTTTTTTTATATTAAATCACCTGCAAAAGGTTGATAAGCCGTAAAAAACAAATCAGTCATAGATTAGCATTAACATCTTACCCCTATATTTAGTAACTTACCTGTTTCTGTTTTTAATGCAAGCAATTAGAGTTTATCTAAGTTGGGAGCGGGCTAAGTATGTTTCAAGCTCTTCCCCTTCCGGGTGGTTATGGCTATAGAAAAAGTCAAGAAACGTTGAACTTTTAAATCTATTTATTTAAATTTTTCAGGCAATTAATCTTCTCATGTCTTCTAACTGTTATAGGTCTTTCTAATATTGATGAGGGTGTCGCTTTGTAGATAACATACGTTTTAAGTTTATATTTACCCATCTCGCTACATGTATAATATCATCAATAAGAACTTTACTTTTGTCTTATGAAGTTCTTTTATAAAGGACGAAAGGGTAACATAGATCTTCGACCACTTTGTCATTCAATTACCCAACATCGTCCTGATATATAGATATATATATTACATATTTTCCCATATATATATATATATATATATATATATATATAGAGAGAGAGAGAGAGAGAGAGAGAGAGACATTTAATTGGCTGGTTAATAAAAGCCGAAGAATAAAAAGACAATAAAATAAAAATATTGTCAATATTTGACTAAAAAACAACAACAACAAAAAATTACCCGGATGAGTAGCCATCTTCCAAGCGTAACTTAGATGTGGCACAAGACTGAAAGTATGGGGCACCCAGTGAGGATCGAACTCACTACTCCGTTGTAATTGTTCTAGCGAAACAAGCTTGCTAGCCATTATACCGTCTCGAAGTGTCCAATTCCCCGGATGAATAAGCCCAACTTCATCGTTTATTTTGTCATTTCGTTGAAAAAGGACACAGTCGTGTCCCAAAATTCCGACATTAAAATCTTTCTTTTTGTACTTCGGATAAATCAAAAGGCCCAATAATATAAAATAAATATCATCAGTCTTATTTTTATCATTATGTTGACTTATTATTCCTCGAACTTCATTAAAACATACATGGACCATATTTCTTTTTTTATATATATATATATATATATATATATATGAAGTTTGAGTAAAAAAAATATCGGGACTGTTTCTATGGTAACGGCGCTAAAGTACGCAGAAGGAAGTCACTTGGCACAGATTGACCTCGAACTCTGTTGCACAAACATACTAACTTATAACATTCTTGCTCACTACCGTTACTTATAGCAATACTTGGAAGGGAAGTGTGTAGAGTGTGGTCGTCTCAACACTCCACAGCTGTTCCATCAGTGACTATGGTTTGTGCAGCAGATATTGGCCCGACAACTACCATATTACCCAAATCACGCCCCTGCTCGCTATGCTCAAATGGAATTCAAGGAATGCCTCCATCAATGCCGTCTGCTACAGTTTTCTTTTTATCGCAACGGTTCCGATATTCTGATCAAAACTAATATATATATATATATATATATATATATATATACATGTTGTGCCTATTTTTATATTGATCCTTTCCAGTTCTCTAATCAGTTTCTTAATTTTAAGATGAAATTCATCAAGAAAGGCATCGTAGTTTTTTTCTAACCCAAGTACTTTCAATCTTTTCCAAGAGCACCTTCAGGGGTAAATTACAAAGACATAGTTATTGTAACTAAGATAAAATCTTTATTCTGTTGTGATGGTGATTTTTAAGAACAACGAAATTCAACAAAAGAAGTATTGCAGATTTCTCAACGTCAAATTTCTATATCAAAATCAACCCACCAACACACAACAAAATTTCTTACGAGTGTAGCAGAAACATATTGAAAGGCATATAACGAACATTTATTGCCATTTTGCATTTCTACCAATTTCCGCTCAGCTCCCTTATAATGAAACACTTGTTTTGCAAAAAAATTCCATAACTACAACAGATAAATTTATAATTCTAAAATAATTACAGAGCGCGTTTGCGCGTGTCTGTAAATGCCTATAAATATATATATACATGTGTGTGCGTGTGACCTCTATGGAGGAATAAATAAATCAAACAAACAAAAAAACACAAAAATAGCAGCAAGTATACTTCCTTTTTCTTTTGCTATGGAAGCCCATGATGCTATTATTACATTTTAGCTATATTAGGTACGAGTTCTACAGAACCCTAATTTAAACACTTAATCTGTTTATGCGAATTTCTTGGGATTTTATACGTTTCACCTCCTATATCTTGCCTTCTTTTATTTCATTTCAAAGAAAGTGTATCTCCACTCTCTTCTCTACATATGATTTGCTAGATCTGATTTTATCATCTCATTTCGGATTATTGCTTCAGGATGAATTTTAATTTCCTCTTAAATTTTCTAGCACAGCTACATGAAATGTTGTACATGCAGTTCTTTACCAGGTTTGAATTATATAGATTTCTGACATCTTTGAAAATGTTACGGTCTGTAGCTTTATTATTTGAAACTAGCCTATAGTTACTGAGATCCTTTTTCGTTAAACCTTTGTTTCTTAAGAAAATACTACTTAAGTACACTGTTTAATTAATAGAGAAAGATTTTGGGAAAATAATTTTTGTAAATTAGTATTCTTTAGACTTTCCTTAAGCCACGACATCTTTCTGGATCGAAAAATATCGATTTGTTATCATTTTACAAGTGGAAGTCCTGTTCATAATATCGATGCAATATAAAACCGACCCCTTACTTTTTACGGAGTTATCGGGAATTAACTGCTTGCAAATGTCAAGTTTGAAACTGTGCTTATGTTACTGGTATATGCATACAAATACAAACATTTTTATTTCGCAAAAAGATTTCTTTTAAAAAACGGATATATACAGTTTATGTGTTTTATTTTAAGATCAATTTTTTAAACAAGCGCTTCTCTGACCAAATAGATTTTTTTATTTTATTTTATTTTATTTTTTTTTTTTTTGCAAAAAGTTTTTTTGTCATTAAAGAAGAAACATAAATATATATATTTTTAAAGTGAGGCCACGTTTTTAATTAAAGAAAAAATTACATAAATTAACAAAAGTATAAAAAAAAATGTACTAACAGATCTTCAAGGAGTGGCATTATTAAATACAAAAACAAGCGCAGATAACTCTCTAAAAAGAATGCTTCAATTTGATACTGTATCCATGTTATAAATAGGGGCCCTTTTTACATCGACAGAAGATCAATATTTTTCGATTCTGACAAATGTTTCGCCATGAGGAAAACCTAAAGAATGATTATCTACAAAAATTATTCTCGGGAAAAAAATCCCCTATTTTTTTACGAGAGGAGCAGTCTATTTAAGTAGTTCCCTTAAAACTTTTCCCTAACGAAAGCAAAATTTTAGAATATCTCGTATTCATCTATGTATACCGCGTCCCTTCAAGACTTAGGAGATCTTGGCCCTCCAAAACTTCCTATCCTTTGTAGTCATTAGCAGTTTTTCCCGCTTCGTTTAGATTAACGTCCCTTACCACTTTCCGCCATCCATTCGTACAATCCCGACAAGTAGGATCACTGTTTTCCGTTATTCCCCTGCTCTCAATAGACCCTGTGAGTGTTAAGTTTTCCAAGTCCTCCTTCCTCATTATGCGTCTAAGAAATTTCAGCTGTCTCTTTCTGATTCTGGGTATGTGGTCTTTTTGCTACCATTTTCTTTCAGACTTCCTCATTGCTTACATGCTCCGTCCTTGGAATTCTCAGTATCCTTCTGTAGAACCACATTTCTGTTAACTCCAGTTTTCTCTTCATTTATGGGGAGATTTTCCAACATTTATAGAAGATGATGGATACCACAAAGCCATCCAGCGCTCTTAAAATCCACAAAAATTAAAAAAGATACAAATAAAAAAAAGATATAAATTAAAAAAAAGATATAAATACCCATTTTAAATGTCACCTCCGTTTCGGTTACGGAAGCACAAACACGATAAAATGCACGGACAAAATTGTTGGTGTCGATTGAACATGATTTACCAAACTCTTATTTGAGTCTTTTGACCAAATTCCGAATTTATTTTTGTAAGAGGTCAACGCTCGGAAACTGGTGAGAAGGCCCGACTAACGAGTTTTCTTTTATCCACCAGCGGACACGACGCTAATCGTGGATAAATCGGTGCTAATTCTTGAGCGCTAAAGAAATACTTGTTATTAAGTGTCCGTTTGCCTACATCGTAGGACCGGTGTAGTCACGTGACTGTCATACGACCTCAATAAGTCACTTGGAGGACGACGACAACGTTTAAGTACCACGCCTTCTGTCGTGTTCGTTCATTACCTCTCTTTCTCTCGGCGCCTTTTAAAAGTGTGTGCTTCTAAATTTAAATTTTTCAAAACATTTTTGACATTAATGTATCCAGCGAGCAGGCTACTTGGTTATCTAAATATGTATATATCTATATGCATTTCCATTTTCGTTTATCTATCTATCTATCTATCTATCTATCTATCTATCCCTTTTCCATTATTCGGACTTTTGTCCTCATCGTTGTCGCCATATTTATCACAACGTTTCGGACGTTGTACGCTCCGGCCTCCTTCCGGTGGTTGGAATGTCGAACCGAACACTTTATTTCGCTCACTGTGGTAAACTGTTCTACTTCCATGTACCATGTCTAATGGATGTCAGTTATCAGTTATCTCCTGATAATTCTCCTCTCCACCGCCTTAACCAGGTATTGAACTCACACTCGTTGGGTCCTGTCACTGGATCTAACTAATGCCTTTATCTACTGTGCCATGAGGACATCTGTTTATGAATTTCTGTGTATTATAAGCCTAATGACTTCAGCCATCATTTT